TTACTGGTAATTTGTATTTCTTTTTTTTTTTGGGTGAAATTCCCTATTCGTGTCCTTAGCTAATTTTTATTTTTTGGTCATCAACTTGCCTTTTCATATTGCTTATGTGTTTAATAAAATTTAAATATTTATGTAAAAAGTATTTATGTAGCCCAGTCTACCAATATTTTCCTTTATGGTTGTTTCCTTTGCTGTTTTGCTTCTTAGAAAGCTCCTCCCATTTTGAGATCAATTTATAAAAAAAAAAAAAAAAGAGAGAGAGCCCTCTTCTGCTAGTTCTTTTATGGTTTATTACTTTGCGATTTTGTTTTCACAATTAGTGTGAGATAGTGTTCTGATTCTTTCTGCCCATAGTGCAGCTAATCAGTAATAACACAATTTATTGAATAATCCATCCACTGATTTAGATGCTACCCTTATCATAATTGTTCCTTTCATGTTCCTTGGATTTCATCTACTGAGGGTTATAGGAATAGGGGCACGTGGGAGAGTGAATAAGTATTACAGAAATAGATAGTAGTACCAAAGGTGTAAAAATTTGGACCGGGCAGTGTGAGAGCAGAAAAGGAACTGTGCCTGTGGCAAAGATTATTTGCTTGGCCAAACTTTAGTACGGCTTCTGAATCTTCTGCTAGGTCCATCTGTGCACTTCTTTGTAAAAATCCAGTTTTAGCGAAGAACCCCCCTTTCCTCCATATCTAATGTTTCCTCACCCTCCACCATCCCCCAGGTGATGTTCTGTCTTCAGGATGAGTCCTGTTAGGTCAGTTTCACTAAATGCCCCTTACCTCTGATGTTTCCTCTTAGTAATTTTCCATCCGCTGAACTCCATGCTGCTGGTTGGCTACCAATTCCCTCTTCCCCGTGCTGTATTCAGAGTTGAGCCCAGTCCCTCTTCCGCACTGCAAGACCCAGTTGCAGTGGTCCCTATGCCAACTGAGACAGTCCTCAATAGTCTTCGTTCGTTGCTTCAAGTATCATTGAATAATTTTGTCTTTAACACCTCTTCACATTATGGTCACAGCTATAGATGGTTAGTAGTAGGTTAACTGAACATGTAATTTCCAAGCTGTAAGTTGCTCATCAAAATATGTAAGTGAAAAAAACCAAAACCAGGGAAGGAAAGCAAGACAATCCTCCCCAAATAACTTTAAATCTATGCGTCTAATTCCACATCATCGATGAGCCATCTGTCACATGGACTACTGTCCCTTAAACAGCACTCAGGTATGAGACTTGAGAGGAAGTTCAGACCAAGGCCGTGTCTTCGAGGATATTTCGCTTAGAGAAAACGAAACTGTTTTTAAATGTAGTGCTCATGACTAGTGCGCTACTACACAAACAGCATTCTCCTGGCGTTGTTACACTAACATAAGCCTCAGCAGCGAAGACAGTTGCTACCGGGGGAAATAACCTTCGACTGTGTTTTTCGCAACCGATTCCTCTTTTTTTTTGCTGTTGTAAAGGACCGTTAAAGACGGAAACAGAAGGTTGGTGACGTTAGTCCGCAACAGAAAGTTATTTTGTACTTTCACAGTGGCTTGCCTACTTGGTGAGATAAAAGTGGGAAGACTGGACCTCAAGCCAGGATGTCCTGGGGGCTCCCGGGAGCGTCGCGGGCTGCGTGTTCCCCGCGCGCCGGCAG